GTAAAATCATTATAATTTTGTAGATAATTTAATAAGATAAAATTCAAATATGGAATTCAACTAAATTTAAGAGTTCTTCTGAGTGTATATAAAGCAGTGCAATGCTTCAGGGAGAAGTAATACAGATCTACAGCAAATGTGCATTCCCTTAGACTCTTGTGACACAATTCAGATACTTTCTCCTTTGAACGTATGCGGTTTATAATAGCTTATGCATACATTTCCATTCAACTGAAGGTTTAAATTTTGCATTTGTTTGGAGAATTTTTAGTAAATGGAGCATTAAATATGCTCTAGATCTTTCTTGGCTTTTAGCCTAGGCTGCATTTCATGCTAGGTCAGAACTTTGCGAGAAGAAGTTAAATCCATTAAGAACATCGGGTTTGGTGAAATATTGCTTTTCAAAAAGACCCATTTTATGAGGTAGAGTTTGGATGAAGTAGTTGGCATCTAGATTGGAGTGAAACTAAATTTAAATAAAACTGAGTGTTTCAAACTTGCTGTTTTTGCATCTCTCGAAACTGATATCTGAAACTGCCTTGCTTTCTGAAGTTACCTAAAGTGCAACAAAATGTTTATGGGTGTGCAAAATGGTTATTTAGGAGAATCGGGTTCTATTATGATGGAGAAGATCTATTATCATCTTGTATTATTTACCGTTATTTTTCATTTGATTGACATTTTAGGAATTAATTTATCTTTACTAATCAAAGTATTTCTCTTTTGTTTGGAATTGCATGTGATCGGCATTTTGTCCAAAGTAATTACTTTTCTGTCACTTAAAATCTCTAGTTCACTCCGAAGGAAGGTGGGACCCCTGGAAGGAATTATGTAGTATTCACCTCCCCAACTGGAGAAGATATCAAGACTAAGAGACAGTTGGATCAATACCTTAAATCTCATCCTGGAGGACCTTCAGCTGTTGACTTTGATTGGGGTACAGGTAGACTCGCGCTTTTTGTACATGCATGTCTGAACATAAACGTGTGTTGGGGACATTCTAAAAGCACGCTAAATATCTGATGCTGTTAAGATTGCAAGAACAAAATTGAGCCTCAACTATGTGTCATTAGACAGTGGAGAATATACATCTGATCTCAGCTATTGACTTGTGCAGGTGACACTCCAAGGCGTTCTACAAGGTTAAGCGAGAAATCAAAGATGCAGGAGGTACCAGAAGTTGTAACTCCCAAGAAGAAACAAAAGAAACACAGTGAAAAGAAAGAAACAAAGGAGAATGAGGATGCTGCTGGAGTGGAAGATAATGATAAGGATGCTACTACAAAAGAAACTAAAGGGCCTGATGTGTCTATGGCTGATGCAGAAAATGCTGGGGATGATGGTGGTGGAGTGTTTACAGCTGATGGTGCTCTCCTAGATGAGCATAATATTGAAGACGAGGAGGAACCACCTGTAGCTGATGTTCCAATTGATTCAACCACTGATAAGGTGGATGCTAAAGTTGAGGAATCCAAAGATGCAACTGCTGAGGTAGCAAGTTTGAAGGTTGAGAAATCGAAGGATGCGACTGCTGAGGTCGAAGGTGCAGAGGTTATACAGTCTAAGAATGGGGCTAATGATGTCAAGATTGAGGAATCAAAGGGCAAGGACTCTGCTATAAAAGAGCTTTTGGACGGGAAGGTTATTAGTGCAGAAGCAGCCGCAGCTGATACAGATGAGTCAAAGGATAATCAAGAAAAAGAAAAGAAAAACCGAGAATGACCGTCTTGGAACAATGGACTGGAGGAAATAACGAAATCTCGAGTTGCTGAACTTTTTGATAGGTTCTTCTTGTATTATCTTTCAGATAGGGTTTTAACTAGCAATTGTAGATCTGTTCTGCTAATTGCTGTTAGGAATTCTTGGAGAAAGTATTAGGTGTTGATATTTGCAGTGTCCACGTCATCAATTATGCACTTGAAACCGTATAGTTTCTTGATATTCAATAGACAGTTGTTTTTTAAATTTGTGCTGTTTCTGTGCATCTCATATGGATTTAAATTACACCGAGCAGAGGTTGGGGT